GCCAGTGCGTTACATAGAGAAAAACTGATAGCGAGCGACTCATGGATACCGATGGAGGTTCATCTCAGAGAGGTGTGGTTTTTATCTGTATTTGTCATATTATGGCATTTCGAAAGGTTGCGCATCGCTGTTGTCAGAGATGCACATGTAGGATACTTCTGAAGATCACTGTTGCTAGGTGAATTGGGATAATAGATTATGTAGAACATCGGAAGGTGTTTTCGAGGCTTTTGAAACCATGCTTAAGGTTAATGCATTAGCACTCGGGAAAAAATGACTCGATAGGGACAGTGGCGATAGCAGAATTTGCCTTCCACAAAGTTTGAACATTTTAGTTTTTTTTTTGAGCCTGTAATTGTAAAAGATAATGCCGCCTCAGCTTTTCCAGGATCCTTTGGTTGTGGAGAAACTTTCTCAGCTGACTGTGACTCCAAAACTAGAACCCGAGTCACTGAGTTTGAATACGCGGGATCTCGTTGAACATGGAATCGTATGTGGAGAAAAGGAGCAAGTGTTGGTCATTTCATTATCTTACAGTCTTTGGTTGGATTTTTCTCCATATCAAATTGTCAGTCAAGTGTTTCAAACTTTTTTTCTCATGCTGTCGTTTGGTTCTAAAATTCAGGAAAATAATCATGCGTATTAGTGTAAGTTACTATTTTAGTGATCTCACTCGCAGTGATTTATTGGTATCTCAACAACGTATTCGGGAAATGCCTATTCATCAGCAGGTTAAAGCACAGGTTTTAAAATGTGTGTTCAAGATTTTTAATCATTTTTCTGGCAAAAAAGTAGGGCAGTCATTGAAGCACGAGTAATAACGACTGACGATGTGATAAAACGAGTTGATCCATCACTCACTCGTGAGGATGTCATCGAGGATTTGAAGCAATGTGCACGCCTTGTTCAAGGTAACTTTTGAAGTTCGAGTTTGATAAGTCACATCTGTCGTAATTTTGAGGTGTCTGGGTCCTCCAGTCCGACTTTTTGTTCCACGATCTCACTGCTGTACACTC